GGAACGCCAAATTACATTATACGGGGTGTATACGGGGTGTTTCATATATTATTGCTGGGATTTGTTGTTCCTCTATAACTGCTGGTGTTCTACAGTGTGCCGCTGTTTTTTTGTTTTTTTTTAAACAGGAAACATTAAAACAGGTCCCCCCCCCTTTTACCTGTCTCTGAACCCTTGTAAGTCGCGGCGGCGGCGTGCTCTGCGGGCGTGCGTGCGCCGTGGGCACGGCGTCCGCAGCGCGCATAGCGTAACTCGTGTATGGAGCTGCGAACAGGCGTGGCGCGAGCGGGAAATGTAAATTTTAGCTGACGAATCGACGATGGAAAACGCTGACGACGTTTAACCATCGTCGATTTTATTAGTTTTTTTTACATATAGAACATATACAATACACAATAACGGGGGAGGGGGACAGCATCCATGTGGCGTAAGTTGTAGTGTGAAGGTTAAAAAAAAAAAAAAAGCAACACATACGTCACCTATTGCAGAAATACATGAGTGTACGATACCAATAAGTGGAGTAACAAAGTAAGGTAACCGTGGCGACATATATTCAATGAATCCTATGGAAATGTGACCACAGAATGTATGGAGTAATGCAGAGAAATAAGTCCAACCGTTAATATTTGGCCCAATCCGAGGAAGGATGTCCAATGGAGGAGACTGGACATCAAACACGCGTACACAAGAATGTAGGAAATACATACAAGTTATAATAAAAGGAAACTACCATAACTCCGTCATGTGGTGCTAAGAGAAAGAGAAATTCGAAAGTGGGCGTTGTGTATTTAAGATTTGTATGACATTTTGCAGAGACGTCCACCGTACCACGGTACGAGATGTTTTGGGGTTCCGACTGTTTCCATGCTCTTGCTATGGCAAGTCGGGTTATGAGGATGCGGGATACCGCCGTACGAGATGTTTTGGGGTTCCGACTGTTTCCATGCTCTTGCTATGGCAAGTCGGGCAGCTGTGAGGATGCGGGATACCGCCGTACGAGATGTTTTGGGGTTCCGACTGTTTCCATGCTCTTGCTATGGCAAGTCGTGCAGCTGTGAGGATGCGGGATACCGCCGTACGAGATATTTGGGGTTCCGACTGTTTCCATGCTTTTGCTATGGCAAGTCGGGCAGCTGTGAGGATGTGGGATACCGCCGTACGAGATGTTTTGGGCCATTCGTCCAAAGCCAATCCCCAATGAAGCTAGTTGTGGTGAAAGAAAACATGGCGCCTGGGTCAGCACAGATAGGAGGGTGGAGATTTCATCCCACAAAAAGACCGGAGCAAGGTACACGACTGCCAGATGTGAGATAGTGATCCCCACCGAGCCGCAACCCCTCCAACAGAAAAGACAAAAGCGAGGGCGCAAAGCTAAGGAGGGTTATCTGGCTGGGGCTGAACGTTGCAAGAGGAACGGCAATACACACACCTTGGACTTCACGATCCTCCCACAGGCCGGTCCTCATCCGATCCTCGGACCCACTCTAGTAAGTACACTAATTAATCTGCCGTTCCTCTTGCAACGTTCAGCCCTCCTTAGCTTTGCGCCTTCGCTTTTGTCTTTTTTGGCACTCCTCCTGTCTTCCAGGGCTGCAGGCTAGTTAGGCACACATACTTCCCGGGCCCTATCCGTGAGCGCTGTTCGTACCGTCCTTGAACCCCTCCAACAGAGCGGGGAAGAAGACGGGGAAAGCTCTCGCTAACCTCTGGGGTGTAAAGTACCATTTGTGGAGTATTTTTTTTCGTACCGACTCCCAGTGGCTGAGACATTTACTCCCCCCCGAGCCGCACTCGGGATTACAGTCTCTTACCTTGTCCAGGATCCCAGCAGCGTCCTCCATCTTCCGTCCTTCAGCTACTACCGCGCTGAGCCAATCACGGCAGCCTTTGTATTCAGTAAATACAGGCTTTGTATTAAAGAACACAAAGCCTGCCGTGATTGGCTCAGCGCGGTATACTGTATGTAGCCGCAGCTACATACAGTATACCGAAGTATACCCGGCGTATAAGACGACCCCCCGATTTTCGGGCTATTTTTTGGTGTCTCAAACCCCGTCTTATACGCCGGCAAATACGGTAGATGTTTTTAAGGTTTGGGAGATAACCGCATACCAACGGTCCAACGAAACGGAGGAAGTGCAGTTCCTTTTCCCGCCAAAGCATGGACGGTGACTTCTCAGACTCATTTGGTTCTGTTTAAAGAAATACAATCATACAAAACACGGGTTGATGGATGTTGGACTATGGGCAGCCCCTTCTGTCCTGCGTGAACCGGTGGTTCTTCCTTCCCTATATTGGCCCCGAGGTCCTCCCCATACTGAGACATAGTGAACTGAACGGAGCAGTTCCCCTGCCTTCCTTGGAGGATCCCTTCTCCACCTAACCTTCACACAGAGAACTTGATCTTCATTAAGCCACTCCAATTGGGTGGTGAGTAAAATGGCATACGATGGTGAAAACGGTGGTGGGACTCTCTCCATTGGGCACATAGTCAACCCAAGCACATGCCTTATATACTCTGTGCACTCTATATACTCACACTCAATAATCATGCTAATTTAATATGTATTGTATCTTATTAGGGTAGGCTACCATCCCCTGAAGAAGCCAAGTTGCGAAACGCGTAGGGTAGGGACTTGTATCATATTTTTATTCGGCGGGCTCCTCCCCCAGCCCTTAATAAACGCCCCAGTGAGACAGTATGGCGTTCCAATATTGAAGACTGAACGCCTGCTGTCTCCTGGGACCCTACAGATCTCCATTTATTGCTGTCAGCTACAGAGAACCCTTGGACCGACTCCACTTGGACCCCCAGCTCCTTATTCGCTACTCCATACAACTGTAAGTACCCAGGCATACTGCGCTTCCATTGTTACATATTGACTGTGTATACTGAGAAGCTGGATTGACTCATATGCTCCATCTAGTGGGCCATTTGGAGATTACACCTCTGCCTCTAAATATAGCTGATATCAATCCTACCCTATTTGAATTCCTAACCATTACATCTTCTGGTACTATTACTTATCAGTGGCGTAACAACCGGGGGTGCAGCAGGGGCGCGGGCCCCGGGCGAAAAGTGAAGGGGGGGGCGCCGGCCGAAAATGGCACTTTCGGCTAAAAGCCGAAAGTGACATTTTCCTGCCGTTTTGCCGGCGCGGCCGTGATTCCTTTCATCCCCGCTGGGACACAGAGCGGTGCCCAGCGGGGATGAAAGGAATCAGAGTGAAAATGACAGCCGGCCGAGCGCTGCGGGACGAGCGCTGTGAGCGGCCGGTGTCTTTCCTCCCACACCGCTCGGCCGCCTATCACAGTGCAGCAGAGCGGTGTGGGGGCGGAGACAGCCAGCGCTGTCACAGGAGGCTGGGCTCTCCTCTTGCAGCCTCCT